AACCAATAACAGTATATTGGCTTTCATTGTTTCCTTGACATCTGAGAAAGAATGATTGAGGGCTAACTTATAAATATTGTAAATAAATTCACATTTGAGCAGGTTTGCTGTAATATAGCAAGATTTGGTGCTCTGGGGAGATTTCAGCCATTTTTTTGCCTCCAAAAATATTATCTAAATGGGTGGTTGGAGACAGGGATTGTGGATGATTTTGAGGAAATGATGGGCATCTTACCATTCACAGGACTCAGGTGGCTGAACCTTGTCCTGTATTAACCAATGGTGAAGCCGGTGGGAATTATAATTTAGCAACGCCTGAAGAGCTACAGGCACAACTCACAACTGCAACAAGACTTTTCATTGCTAAGCAAACAGGGGAGTCACACTCAATTTTTCAATTACTTTTTTGTCACAGTTGTTTAGTGAATCATGCAGTCGTTAAGCAAATCTGTCTTCCCCCACTGACTTTGCCTGTTGGGAACTGGCTAGAAGGCTGCAACCATGAAAAATATATGCTGGCTGCCAAGCATCCCCATTTTGATCATGTTGACTGTGGGGATGCTACAACAGTCTTAAGTGTGAGGACGGTCATTCTTTTTTTCCAGTGTCACTGTAACTTCAGTTGCTAAATGAATGGTTTTATGCTGACTGGGGAATTCTCAGAGTTGTAGACAACTTCTTAAAGTTGTCAAGATTGAGAAATGCTGGTATAAACACACACACACACACACACACACACACACACACACAGTCGTAGTATCTGATAAAATTGGTTTTGTAACAGTACAAAAAGAGTCTACACACTCCTTAATCCCTATTTCAATGTTTCTTCAGCCTCCATCCACAGATTTTTCTTTCTTTTTTCAAGCTAATTTTTTTTTTAAAAAGGGTGGGAGAGAGTTGACAAGCTTCAATTTGGCTGTTGCTATTCAGATTTATTTTTAAACAGCTGATTAAAACACTCCCTCTTAAAAGGCCATGCCAGTTGTTCAAAACACAACAAACCTGACATAGAAAATGTCATCTTTGAAGGAAAACAAACAAGCCATCCAACTTCCCGCCCCCGCCAAAAAGAATTCATAAGGGACTGGTTAATTCAGCAACTTTAGTTAAATGAATACATAATTGAGGAAACATTCTACAAAAACAAACACACATACTTGCTCTGTCTAAAGTTGTACTCAGAAATGGCAGATAAGCCATTTCAATATGATACAAATATGCATTCTTGTTTGAAAATGAAAAGCAGGGGATTTATGTTCCAGGGTCAATATAAGAGGAAGTTGATACAGACTCCATATTGCTTTGCTGGCAGCTAAACACGCTGTTGAAATCTAATTAGTGTAGTTGTTTTCATTAGCACTGCAGAAAAGTGAACCAATGAATCAAATCACAAGCCGTAAGTGTCAAGCACCCTCTGCAAGAACACACTATCCCTTTTTAAGTTGGTTCATATCTCCTTTCCCCTGGAATTTCTGCGGACACAAGTGTTATTCTTTGAAAGCCAAGTTAGAGTCAAGCATAGCTTTCTATTCTAGCCTTCTTTTTGTGCCCCTTTAAATCTTACTCCCTTTCGTAGCCAACTACTTTGGACAATTTGGCTGATTTGCCTTCAATATGCCAAGCCTACCTTCAATCTCATACCTCTTTGTGTACCCCAGAAGCAAACGATCGCACCACAGAATGGGTCAAAAATATTGTGGTGATGATTACTTAGAAGCAAAGAGGATCAAAACTTCATCTGGGCATGCAGAAGTCAAGAGAAATAACAACAGATTCATCTTGGGGTTAAGGTGGTTCCTTCGAATGAGTTTCATTGCTGGGACCCTCCATGAGTGGCGTGGGACCAGGAGATCTAGAGACCATGAATTGAGGAAATGCTATTTTAGACAAAACCACATTTCTCATCAGAAAGCAATGGTTTAGGAAGAACAACTTGGTCAAATAATAGGGGAAGGGAAAATAAACTCTTTGCATGAAACATTTACTGAAATGATGGGATTAGACCTAATCAGCATTCTTAGCTGGATCAATGATTTGAATCAGATCCATAACCCCTAATAGAGACTAATCAGAAGGAGTTAATTGGAATAAGGCCGTCAGAACTGGCCATGCTAGGGAGAAATGAGATTGCATCTTTGCATGTCTTTCTTCTTCTGAAGCCCCAAGGTCATTTGATAGTCAGTGCTGGGAATCAAGAGATTACATCTTCCAGGTATGCTGGAGATTTGGAATTCCCAATATTTGTACTACAGGGAATGGAAGGAGGCTAGGTATGGCATCCCAGGAGCAGATTCCCTCTCTTGTCAATGGCGTATCTTAGGAAAATTGGAGTCCTGAAGGCCATTCATAATCCCATTCGTTTTTACTTGGAAGAACTTTCTGAGATGAGTCACAAATCACATGTTATATGAACCCAAGCTATATGTCACAACATCCAGATGGTTAATTTGTCCAATAAAACAGGCCATTCCCACTGGACTTGAAACAAATTCAATTCTAACCCATATCCTCCATGCAACCCACTAAACCTTTATCTGGTTAACAAATCACATTGGTTGTGTATCCTTAATATGTAATACCCAAATGAACCATTATTTGGCACCTTGAGATGGTTTGAGGGACCTTGATGAGGCACTAACAATGATAGATTCCCATAAGCAAGCTCAACTATTACCTAACTCCATTTTAGCCTAGTCTAGCAGTTGTGTGAATCTACTATGGACAAGAGAGTAATGAACTTTGTTAAAATAAGGCAAGAATTAGGAAACATTCTTAATTTTATAAAATAGAACATCAGTTGGGAAATAAGCTTCATTGCAACACCACCAAAAGACAAGAACTTTTGAGGATGGGGATAGAATTTTGTTTTTCAATTGTCAAGGAACTATCTTGTTCTTTCAGATATGCATCTTTTCTGTACCTTTTTGTGGTCATCTTATGACATTCCCAATCCCCCAACTGTCTGAAAGCCATTGTTTTAGCCAAGTTTTAGAATCTTGATAAAGAGGGAAAGCACAACAAAGATGCAAAGTTACAAGTTGGAAATGCATTGATGAAGCCAGAAACATCTGCGCTAACTTTTATACATCGTGGCTTATTTGAAATAACAAGGAATATTGTGCCCATTTGAGGAAAGAGTGGAAGTCATTGTCTGGGAAACAGGACATTGGCCAGGAGTAAGAAAACGGCAAAATAAGGGTCTGGCAGCAAAACATAATTCAAACAATTGTTATATTGGCTGAGGAACAGACTCATCTCTTTCTCAGCTTACAATTATGAGCCAACTTCCTGCTTTTCCCCAATATCCATGATGGATAGCACCTGACAGTATTTCAAAATAAGACTGGAAAACAAAGCTTGTGTTGTTGTTTTTTGCCATCAGTGGCCTTCTGCAGAGGATTAACTTGCTGCAATAGCCATTTGGAGTTTGAAAACCTCACCGCTGATTATGTTACGCTGATTATGTTAGAACTTCGTGCAAAGATACCAGAATAGTTTGAAAAGAATGCAAGATTCCTTCAAGATATATTTCTCTCCTTCTTCAGTGTGGCTATCTTTAGAGAAAACAGTTAAGAGCAGAAAAATGAAAACAGAAGAGAGCAGAACTTCTTAAAGGCACAGACGTCCAGTTCACTCACGTCTCTATAGAGATTTAAAATCTCACATTTACCCACAAAAATATCCACTAATGAAGAGGCATATGGAAACAAGGGGATGGAAATCCCAAGGAAACCTGCAAAAAGAAAGCTACCAAATACAAAATTCACAGAGAGTCATTCATGGAAAGGACTAAGGATCTTGCTCCTTTCCATAATCTAAGTCCATGCAAGGCTGAAGGATAGCAATGCGCAATATTTGACATCTTAAGCAAATGGCTGGAACAGACCCATATGAAATTTCATTGTAGTTCTATCAAATTATGGCCAAATATCAGCATTTGTAGCAAAAATATTGCCAGGTATGAGAAATGTCCCTATTTTGAGGTTTTCTTTGGTTTTCCACATAAGTCCCAAGTGTCCCATTTCTGGGAAGATGTTTATGCCAGATGGATCACCTTGCAAGGAATGAAAATTTATGCAAGCAATTATATTTCTGCCGCCAAACCCATCCAGTCCAGGATGAAGTTGGGGAAGCTTATGTCAAGGGCCACAAATTTCATGTATGTAACTCTATAGGTGGGGTTAGGCGAGCAGTGGACAGGAAGAAAGATGGTAGGATCATCCATCTTTTCTTTTTCTAGCCACCTCTATACTCTTTCCTACCTCTCCCATTTTTGTTTTCAACTCACACAGCCCCCAAACCCAAATTAATTACAGAAACTAGCCAGGAGTCTGCATAAAATTAGTCTCAGTGTCACCAGAGACCCCCGCCCGTGGGTTGTTCCTCCCCCATTTCTAGAGAATGGAGTTGCCAGCATTAGTGCTGACTGATCATGTGGAGAGCCTTTGCAAGCCTCCCATGGTTAATGATATTCATAAGAGTGCTATTCAGAATATTCTAGGTAATATTAGAGTACAGAGAAGAGCAACAAAGATGATTAGGGGTCTGGAGGCTAAATCATACTATGAATAGTTGAGGAACTAGTTATGTCTAATCGAATGAAAAGAAGGACTAGGGTAACATGATAGCAGTGTTCTAGTACTTGAGGGGCTGTCACAAAGAAAAGGGACAGAACTTATTCTCCAAAGGACCTGAGGGCAAAACAATGAGTACCAGTTGGAAACTGAGCAAGAGGAGATCCAATCTAGAATGGAGGGGAAATTTCCTGACAGTGAGAAAAATCAGTGGAAGGGCTTGCCTCCAGAAGTTGTGGGAACTCCATCACTGGAGGTTTTCAAGAAGAGACTGGGCAGCCATTTGTCTGGAATGGTATAGGGCAGAGGTAGGCAACCTTGGCTCTTTTATGACTCGTGGACTTCAACTCCCAGAATTCCTGAGCCAGCATGGCTCAGCTTGGAAACCTCTCTCTTTCCCCTCAGCATGGCAGGCTCAGGAATTCTGGGAGTTGTAGTCCACGAGTCATAAAAGAGCCAAGTTGCCTACCCCTGGTATGGGGTCTCCTGTCTGAGCAGTGGGTTGGACTAGAAGACCTTCAATGACCCTTCCAACCCTATTATTTTGTGTTTAATTTCTTCTATTGAAAGAACAGGCTTTTCATTGCCATTCTCAGTAGGATGCTATTACAGACGTCCCTTATTTAGAGCTTCTTAAGGTTCTGACCAGCCATTATGGAAGTCAATATGGATTATTTATGGGTAAATAAACCTTTGATATGATCTTGGATTCCTTTTTTTAAAAATAAAACACACAATGTCTTCCATTCAAACTGAACTGATCTTCCTCAAAACTTGGATTCATCCCTCTTTTATGGTATCAATAGCTGACAAAAAAAAAAAAAAACAGCCACAGATGCCAGGACTCTGCACAACTTTGGGTAGTTTCTATTCTGCTAGTTCTTGCCTCAGAGGAACTTTGGAATTCATTCATCTGTAATCAACTTGGAGAAAAGTTTCTTAGAACAACAACAAAAAGCTCTTGAGAGGTCATTTCTACAAATATAAACAAATGGGAGCAACCAGAGGCCCAATTTAGGATGGATTGAAGAGGAAGAAGAAGTCTGAAAACCTCAAGCTGTCACTTTACACCTAGATCTCTCTCTCACATAGGCAAAAATCCCACATGGCCATCATATATCAACATCCTTGACAGTTCATAGGCCAAGCAGCTGACATCCCTGTGCAAAGGTGCCCCCAAATTTTAATTCCCTGCAATAAAATTTATCAGTTGAAACACAATCCCGCGAACTATCCTTATATGACTTTTCCACTTTTGTTTACTGGGTTATTGGAGAAACTGAACACTCCTTTCCATTTTTTCTTTCTGCCCTTCCCTTATTTAATTATTGGGGGTGCAGAAAGAAGAGCATAAGGATTAAATCATCTGTATCCAGATCTCTACAAATTTTCAAGTGGTTCTGGCTACATGTTCACGTTAGCAACTTCTGCTCAATAGGCAAAAACTCCATTCATCTAAAGAAAACATCTTCCTTGTGATAAAACCCACTAGCATCACCTGAATGAATGCTCCGGTTACTGTCCTAGTAATTTTCTTGCTACAAACACACACATCCTTCAGAGCCGAGTTGAAACAATCTAGGGTTGTTTCCATTTCTTTTTGTTTCTACAATGTAGACAGACACCTTGGCTAGGCCTTGCAAAAAATGCTGATAAACTAAGTGAAGATTTACTGTGCATTGTCATTTGTTATCATTGTCACTATCACACAGTGGCATCATTACACAGCCAAATCCAACTGGCTATGTAGCACTGGGACAGCATCATATGATCCCTGACTAAAATGGACCATCTACATGGAGCTAATCCAGGACAAAGGATGAAGCAGGACTTGGGGAACGGTCCCTTAAGAAAAAAACAGGTGAAATGTGATATATACCGTATTTTCCGGCGTATAAGACGACTTTCTAAACCATGAAAATCTTCTCAAAAGTCGGGGGTCGTCTTATACGCCCAGTCGTCTTATACGCCAGAAAATACGGTACTATTTTTTTAAAAGTCAGGTCTATCTATCTATCTATCTATCTATCTATCTATCTATCTATCTATCTAATCAGAAAGCTACAATAGATGTGCTACAAATGGCTGATTTTTCTGGTTGGCTGCAGAGAGATCTGGGCACAACCCCCCCCCCCAAAAAACTATATAAATATATTTGCATATTTTGAACATTCCCTAATGAGGATATAACTGGGTCAGAGACATTGGGAGGGGTGCAGAAAAATTAAAAAATAGCAGCTGCAACCATATGATCGAAGCCCTATCCTTTTTTATGTGTCAAACGTGTCAAAAAAGAGGGTGGGACTTTGATCACATGATCACAGGTGCCATGTTTACTTTTTTGCCCACCCTCTTCCTCCCCCAGTGGGTACCCCTCAACTGGGGATGGGTGGAACAGAGGAACGGGCAAGAAGAACATGAGAAAGCTCTAAAGGCACAAATGGAAAAGAAGGCGGAAGCATCAGTATCCACAACGGTTGAAGAAGCCAAAATGTACTTGAACCACCCAAATCAGTCTGTGCAAGTTCAGGGCCTGTTTTTTATATATATTTGTTATATATATAAAATATAAAAAAAATTAAAATTTTATTAATGAAAAAAAATATGAAAACATGTCCCTTTTCTTCCAGCCCCAGCCAATCATTTGAAGACCGATTGGAACGTGGAACATTCTGGAGTCTTCATCTTCTTCATGAACTTTTTGAATTCCTTATTCTTTTTATCCCACTTATGGATGGCCGTCAGCAAATACTGGGTTTTCACCTTCCGGCCCATTATGAGAAACTGGTGGCTGAGGTTGTCCAGCTGGTGGCAAGGACAGTCTGCCCCGTTCTTGAGATACAACACGAGCTTCTTCAGTTCTTTCTTCTTGATCGTGCCCAGTTTCAAAGGCTTTTTCTTCCTGGGGATGATTTTCTTGTCCCCGTTTTCTTTCTTTACCTCCTTTATTTTCATCTTCAGGGCTGGAAGGGAAAAGACATTCAAACAGGAGAGCCAAGTTAGTCAGTTACAGAGAAAAAAGAAACCACACTGGGAGCTATAAACCACACTGCAGCCAAGCTTACAGCGGAAGAAGGGATGTTTGTTGAAAATGGGGCTTCCATAATCAGGTATCCTCCAAATGGCTGACATTTCAACTCCCCTAATCTCCAGGAGGATTATGGCAATGGAAATCCAACGTATCAACCCAAGAAGCCAGATGTAAAACAAAACAGTATTTATGAAGTTGGGCTTAAAACTGTCTGTGCTGGAAGAGAATCTGGTGTTAATAACAGAATAATAGAGTTGGAAGGGACCTTGAATGTCTTCTCGTCCAACGCCCTGCTTAGGTAGGAAACTCTATACAATTTCAGGTGAATGGCTATCCGATCTCTTTTTAAAAGCCTCCAGTGTTGGAGCACCCACAACCTCTGGAGGCACATCGTTCCACTGATTAATTGTTCTACCTGTCAGGAAGTTTCTCCGTGGTTCTAGGTTGCTCCTCTCCTTGATTAGTTTCCATCCGTTGCTTCTTGTCCTGCCTTCAGGTGCTTTGGAGAATAGGATGGCCCCCCTTCACATCTCTGCTCTTACTACATATATTTTCATTAGTTTAATGTAATAAAATTGGTTGAGAAAGAAAAAAAAAGTTGGCTTTGTGGGATCTCAAGCTAAAATGGAGCAGGTAATTCTGTCATTGTTCAATGGAAATCCTTGCACTTAATAGACAAATGGTTGAAATGGGTCTAAAACCCTCTTCCAAATTCCTCAACGTTCCCCATGGCTTCGTCTGCTTCCCAACTCTTTCCAGATGCCTCTTCATAGGTTTCAGGGCTGTGTTGTCTGTGCTTTTCAATAATCTAACACTGGTGGGATCTCAGGTCTTTGCACTTAGTCCAACTCTTGGTAGGGGATGTTGTCAATACAAGGAAAGCTGACCCCTGAGCTAGACCATGTGAGCAGTCCTGTGGAGAATACACAGAGGACTCTCAAGTGTTCCTCCAATACATGTAGTTAGGAAAGCTTCATGTTTTGTCATTGCTCTCCAAAGCAATGGTCCCTTAACTTCACTGCCTGCTATTATCGGGATTCTCACACCCTATTAAGCCAAGATTTACTTGGCCATTCATGTTGAAGAAGCCAGAACTGATGTGGTTTGTGTTAACATACTAAGCCAAAGTGCATTATGATTTAGGATCCAATCTGGGTTGTTCACCAGGACCAGAGGTTTAGTCTTCCAAGCTTACAGACTCATGCTGGAACCCATCCTTAGGGAATTTCTCTCTAGCAGAATGTGTGCTTTGGGCTATTCCAGGGGTCCTCAAACATGGCCACTTTAAGACTTGTGGACTTCAACTCCCAGAATTCCCCACTGGCTGGGGAATTCTGGGAGTTGAAGTCCACAAGTCTTAAAGTGGCCAAGTTTGAGGACCCTTGGGCTATTCTGTGTCTGGTATTTATATCGCTCCCTGAGGATGGGATCCAGCACAAGTCCAAAAGCCCGGAAGACTAAACTCTGGTCCCAGTGACCGATCCAAAACGGAGCCTGCAACATTATCTTGGGACCCGTATATTCACCTTCATTTGTGCATTATGATTTAGCAGAGAATATGAAGGAAGTTATATTTCCTCCTGAACTGAACTGACTGAAAATTATAGTTTGAATTGACTTAGGATGACCAATTTACAGATGTTCAACTTTGGCACTGACCTATTTGACTCCTGTACATTTTCTAGTTTCATCTGTCCATCCATTCCTTTGGCTCCCAAGAGACACTCACAGAGACTCTGATCTGGTTTTCTGATTGGCTGCATTGACTTTGATCCTTCTTTTCTCAATCTAGTCTAGTGCATCTGGTAGGAATTCAGCCATTGTAGCTGGGAATTCTGGGAAATAGAGCCCAAACACATCTGGAGGCTACTAGGTTGAGCAAAGAAGAATGAATCCCTGGGGGCACCAAGGACCATTAAGTAACTGTCTGTGGAAAACAATTTGGAACTTTCTCCTGGAAACTTACAACAGCCCACTCCCCAATTCATATCTTATGAGGGACAAAACGGGGTTTCAGTCCAATCAACACAGATTGGAAATTGGCATTTAGCCTGGAGTTGCAGCTGCCAAAACAAATATCTCCCTTCTGCTGGAACCCAACTTTCTCATCAGTCCAACACACGTTCTCAAGCAACTTCTCCCAGGTGGGACCCAGTGTATAAGTGATGGACTAGATCAGGTCCCATTCAGACCTGTTCCCATTTATCCACATCTCTGGAGTCCAGTCTTCAATCTTCCCCCTTATCTAGGCCATTATTCAACCACTTCAGCAGACTGCTGATTTACAGCATCCCAAAATAATGACATTTCCAGCTGGGTGGAATTACAGAAAGAGAAGGCTGTGCCTGTTGACATGAACGTAGAACATAGAATAAACAGAGTTGGAAGGGACCTAGGGAGTCATCTAGTCCAACTCTCCACATGAGCAGGAGAGTCTATACCAGTGATGGAGAACCTTTTAGAGACCGAGTACCCAAAAACCGTCCTGCCCGCTCCACCCCTGCCCCTGCTCCATCCCCCCACGCTGCCTCCGCTATGCCCCACTCAACTGCAAGATCACCCACCGCCTCCACAGCCCACTGTAGCAGATCGCCCAGGCAGCCCAGCAGCATCATGGCAGCCATCCCCTCCGCTGGTGCCCCGCAGCATCATCTACGCGTGATGGGGCGTGAGGCCGGAGTCTTGTCCCTGCTGCCATGTGCTTGGCTGTGCTGTTCTGTGTGGGCCATGCCCGAGGGCGACTCTCCTCCAGGGGGCTGCTGGTGAGGGGGCCGTGGGGGGGAGGCGGGGCTGGGGCAACGTGCCCACAGAGAGGGCTCCGAGTGCCGCCTCTGGCACGCATACCATAGGTTCGCCACCACTGGTCTATACCATTTCAGACAAATGTCCTGTCACTTCTTAAAAGCCTCCAGTGATAAGAGCACTCACAACTTCTGAAGGCATTCTACTAGTTGATTCTTCTCATTATTAGGAAATTTCTCCTTAGTTCTAGGTTGCTTCTCTCCTTGATTCGTTTCCATCCCTTGTTCCTTATCTTGCCTTCTGTTGCTTTAGTAAATGGTTTGTCCTCCTCATCTTTGTGACAGACCCTCAAATACTGAAACACTGCTGAATGACCATGAGCTATAAACTCCAGACAGCAGAGACAATGCTGAAAGGCGTTGGGATTAACTTAAGCCATTTTGCAGCTTCCAAGGAAAGACCAGTCCCAGTTCTCCATTCTCTTTACTGGGAGTTGAATCTCCCATTAACGTTACCAATGAAAAAAGTAGTATTATATTGCCAGGTAGGGAACAAATCTGCAAATTCTAGCCATTTTCTTCTCATCTGGCTTGGGATTTCTGGGAGTTGAAATCCACAAAAGTTGCCAAGGTTGGACACCTCCAGTGTAGATGAAAAATATCTTTTCAACAGCACAAGCCTCCCCCCATATTCAAATCTACCAAAGAGGGATCTGCATATGCACTGACAGATATCACTGGGATATCACAACTTTGTCCCTTCTTGTCATCTTTCCTTTACTTCTGCGATCAACAACGTTTGCAAGTTTGAGGAACAGTCCAACATTCCTTTTAAACTTATGGTCCAAAGGCAAATGAAAAGCCAGTTGCTCACAAGGAGCTTTACCCTTTTCACACATTAACTTCAAGTTCTTGCTTAGAAAAAGACTGCTCTCTGTCTCCAGATGTACAGTATAAACACCCGCTTCTCCTAAAGGAAGTTTCTTGTCCAACAAGACCCAATGAATGAAAAATCATTAACTCCCTGGAATGATCCATCACAGAGAAAACAGTCTGTAATTACTGCCATTTTTCACAACCCGCTCCAAACACAAACATTTTTCAAAGCCATCTCTTTTTTCTGCTGAATGCACTTTGGCCATTCCTAGGACGTTTTTGGCATTTCGACAGAGGCTCTCCACAGGCCTCTTAAGGCAACAGGATGACCAAAACAACTCTCTTTGACTTGCCTGCATGCCCAAGCAGAGATGGCAGGCTGGCTGACATCCAGGACTACTAGCTACTGGATCTGTACAACTACCATGGGCTTTCCAAAACTACAGACTAACGAAATCCAAATCTTAAAAATTGGAGGCAATTTTCTCTCCACCTGGAGGAAAAAAGATGTTTCTGTTACCTTCATAACTGACTTGCAAGGTTAAGTTTGGCTGAGGCATCTTGGATTATTATTATCTTTTACCCATGGGACAGGGGGGGTCTTGGGGGGGAGGTCAAATCCAGACTTCAGTCAGGAGCTGCAGAGATTAGAAGCGAGAGCCAGGGCCATCTGCCACGTGAAGTGTCCCCAAACCCCTCGTATAGGGTCCAGGGAAAAGTCAAAACAGAAATGCTTCTTGGAGCAAATTTCGCTTGTCCTCCTCCCAAAAAGAAAGCTGCCAAGAGATCCATTAGATCTGCAAGATAAGGAGGCTCCGAGCGACTTACAACCCGGTCAGAGAAGGGAGAAAACAAAACCTCGTATTGATTTCCCTTTCAGCTTCCTTGGTAACTTGAGAAGGAAAAAGAAAGCCCACTGACTGCAGCTGAGTGGCAGGGACAAAATGAAAAGCTTCTTCTTCTGAGGGGAGGCAGTGGCAGAAATTAGATCTCAAAACTCTGCTTGCTGTAGTGCAGGGGTCTTCAAACTTGGCCCTTTTATGACTGGTGGACTTTGACTCCCAGAATTCCTCAGCCAGGCACGCCTGGCTGAGGAATTCTGGGAGTTGAAGTCCACAAGTCATAAAAGAGCCAAGTTTGAAAACCCCTGATCTAGATGAAAGACATCTGATCTAATATTAGTTTTAAGGCTTCTCTAAGTGGGCTGCATTCCCACTTATGATGTATGAGTGGCATCATATATCAAATAAACGCATCATAGTTGCATTCAACTAATGCACTAAATCCTAGTATTTTTCTGGATTTGTACACTATT